CTTTGACAGTTAGAGTTTTTCCCATTGAACTAGTGTTTTTTTCTTTTTTCTCCGTCCGTCAGAATTTTCTGAATTTTGTAGAGCATACTCATTTGCACCGATTTGGTGGAACAAGCTATATATGTCCATGCTCATTAGTTTTTTTTTTTTTTTTTAATGGAGAGCCATGGCCATTAAAATCGGAATCATGAATTTTAGATTCTAAAAATGAACTTAATGATTCTTCTGAGTCTGATCCACTACCTCTTGCTACACCAAATTCAATTTCTTTTACTTGTTCTAAATGAGATTTGGAACAAAAACGGTAGAACTCTAAATGGAGTATTTCTTTAAACATATTATGATTCTTGTCTTCAACAAACTTTAACTTGAAATGAGGATCAAGCATCATCGCGATTTTTAAATCAACATTATCCTTGTATTTTTGAAAACGACAGTTAAAATCTTTCTTAAGTTCATCAACAACAGTTTTTATTTCAGTTGCCGTGTCACAAGCGTAGTCTAGAAACTTTTCCATTGCATAGATAAATGGTATAATCTCTGATATACATGCAGTTTCTTTACTCATGTCTTTTGTAGTACTTTCGAAGTGTTTTAATATGCATACAAGCATTTCAGCAAGTTGCCATTGATTTTCCGTAGGATTTTTTGCATTTGTTTGATTTCTGGTAATGCAATACAATGTAATAGCTTTTTTCTGCTCAATGAACCTTTCAAGCATATAGTATGTCGAATTCCATCTTGTGGAAACATCTTGAATTATGTTATGCTCTGGCAATTTTAGTTGACTTTGAATTTCCTTTAGTTTAGCCACAGGACTAGATGAGTGGTGGAAATGTCCTGCTAATGCTCGAAAAACAGCTATTGTATCACTTGCTGTTCTTTGTTCTCTAAAAATCTTTTTCTGAATACAAAGTTGTAAAGTATTTATCAGACATGGAAGATGTTTATTGCCTAAATTTGACTCTTTAATGGCAGCCATTACATTGGCTGCATTATCAGTTAAAACTGCATGAATTTTTTCATGGGGAATTTCCCATGATTGTAGCGCTTCATTTATGAATTTACTTATATTGTGCCCTGTGTGCGACTCAGGGAAGTGTGTAACTTGTAAGATGACATGTTTAACTGTAAACTCATGCGTTACAAATCTAGCTGTTAAACTGTAATACGATTGAATTGTGTGCTGACAGGTCCAACCATTACTAGTTAAACTTAAGAAATCTGCTTGATCAAGCGCATATTTTACTTTGCTTTTTTGGTTTCATACATCAGTGGAATGACTTTTGTGGAGAAATACTTTCGACTAGGTATTGTATAGTTTGGAGCTAAATTCTTTAAAAGTCGGGTAAAACCTTTATCTTCAACAATACAGTATGGCTGCAAGTCTAAACATATCATTTCTCCAATAAGCTTGGTAATAGCTTGAGCCTTAGGATTATCAAGTTGCCACAATTCTTTTCTTTGCAAAGTTTTCTTTGCAGTGAGACCTGAACCAAATTCAACGAATTAAAAAAATTACTTAGCAACTTGTAACTAACAATGGCCAGTGACAGATCTAAGTGGCGGATAGAGGTATGTATCTTTCCCCCCTCACCAGAACATTTATTATAATATTATAAGCTTAGATAAGTTAAGTTAACATTTTTCTATACAAAAGATAATTTTTCGACAAGACATGCCCCCATCCAGTCACAAAATCATGAATACTGAATAGTAAATGAATTCAGCTACAGTTAGCTGAGTTACCTGTGTCGATACTTTTTGAAAAAAGGCAATTGTGTTATTAGACACACGCGAGCTTCCCTGCGTTTCATATGTGGCAGTGCTGGTAATGGTTTGCACTGATTCAGCAGAGCTTGTTCTATCTGAGCATATTGTTCGAGTAGTGCAAAATTGTTTTATAGACTTTTTATTTGGATTTGGTAAAGATTCGTGGTTAATAATTTTCTTCTGAGAAAGAATCATGCTATGTATATTGTAATGTACTTTTTTCAGATGGTTTTGTAAATTTGTTGTTGACATGTTGTGTGCGTCTTTACTTCCTCTAGACAAAATCTTCTTGCAAAGTATGCAGATGGCTTTGCCAACATCTTCATCACTCACTTTAAAATAATTCCATAAGGGATTTTTACTTCGCGATGAGGTAGCCATAATGCGCTAATGGATAACTTAAAGTTATAATAACAATTCTGAAAATTGAAATAGAAAGTTTAATTATTTTCTTACCTTTAATAATATTTATTGAAATAAACAATATTCGTTCAATTTTTTGATTCAAATATTATTTGAATTAAAAAAAATCGAAGTCGTAAATAACCAATTAACCTATATTTGTAGAGCAGGTATATTTACTTTTACTAATGATCCAGCGTACAAAATCAAAAAACTTTCGCAGTAATTTAAAAGTCAACCAATAAAAAACTATGCTAAAGCTATTTTCGCATTGTATAAAACTTTGTATAAAAAACCAACCAATTAAAAAATATGCTATTATATAAAAATTGCGCATTATATAAAACATTAAAATAGATTTTTATTTAGAGGGAAAGTTTATGGAATTATTTATTTAAAAATTCAAATGTTTTAAATTAGAAATTAATTATTTAATATGAGAAAAAATTATAAAGTATATTTTTTTAAATTTATAAGAAAATATTGAATGAGATTTAAATAAGATATAAAATTATTTTATATCTTATTTAACAATTTTATTTAAAATATTTCTTTTATTTAAAATATTTGATCACTGTTAAAGTCCTTTAGACTGTTGTGATTAGCGCTTGTTTTCTAATATTTATATCGTACTTTGTCGTGCTTTATTTTTCTAGTTTTATCTGATGTTTTATAAAATAAATTAAAATATTAAAGTTTAAATTATAATCTTTAATAATAGTAAAAATAATAGTAATAATTTGGTTTTACAATTAGATTTTATATCATAATCAAAACAGATTTATGGTTTTTAAAATGCTAAAAATTAAAGGACTGGAAGCATTTCCAGATATCGCAATTAGCGATCATTTATTTCGAGCCCTGTGTGGTATATACAGCCCTCGAAATCAGAGTTGGCATTCGGCAATGCTGACCTAACTGCCTATGTAAAAATGTTAAGGTCGGCAAAAAATTGCCAACTGCGTTTCTAAATTTTATTGTAAAAACATTATATCAAATTTTTTTTGCTAACTTCTAAAAGATTGAGGTTGGCAAATAATTGCCAACCTCATTTTTCCATGCACATTTAAACAACTATGCACAAAAGTTGAATGCAAATATTGCTTTCATTCTATATTTTCTATTTCTTCTTCAATTTAACAAAACTGGAAAATAAATTTAATTGACTTTTATATTTTTAAAAGAAACATCATTTAACTGTAAAATTGATATTAATAAGTTAAAGAGTTTTTATTGCAATGTTCAATATCATTATTTGTATTATATCATATTATATCAATATATTTATTGCAATGTTGATGACCCAATATCTTTTAAAGATTTAAATTTTATTTTATAAAGTTGAAACTTTTTTTTGTAATTAAAAAAATTTTAATTTTTAAATGTTAATGAATCAACAATCATATCAATTTATTTTAGAATTTATTAAATGTAATAAAAATTGGATCAATTGTATCTTAAAATTGGTTG